ACTCTTCCTGTCCAGTGAAAACCATGTATCTCCAGATGTGTTGATGTTAAATGTTTGTGATAAACTGAAGGATGAAGTGTTGCTTTATAGGTTGAGAAAATTCTCCAACTTCTCAAGCTAAATAAACTATTTAAAAACCCTCTTGGATTCGGTAGAAAACAGGGCTGTTCTTGGAGAATATGATGCATTGCTGTAGATGAAACAGTGTATAAAGTAGTTAAAATGAGCTCAACATTAAACAGTTACAACAATAAAATGCAACATACACATTAATACAGCACTGATATTAATCCAAAAATATAAGAGATAATAGTAAAACACTGAACACTGGATCATTTTACTGCACTGAGTACCACTAAGTGATACTTTCATTACATTTTGTTGATACTACTTACTTATTTATTGTAAGATTGAAAACTTTACTTCAGTAAAAGTATGTGAGTCCAGAGCTGCTAGCGTGGCATCTTTATTTCTACATAAAGGCTTCTAGTAAGGAAAAGGTTTCATCTTTTCATAAAATTCGTCCTTTTTTTGCTCATTAAGTAAAGTAACTTTGGATTTCTTCAGTCAGTTTGAACTGAACTGAAGTACTGTGTGAATGTGAAGTATGGTGCTGCCGAGCTCTGTATAAGAAAAGAGTAATCTATTACTGAGTGTTGGCACATCCTTTCCCCCACTGTCATAAACTGCTGAATGCTCAATATAAGTCACACTTCCCCCGAAAGCTTGTTTGATAAATGAGGAAGTCTGTCTGGTTTCCACTGCTATATACACACAAAGACACCCTTTACAAGATGTTTGGGAAGACTGTGCGTGAGGTGGTGAGTTTTATCTTCCCCTGTTTATATTTAAATTGTATTCATTTTATTTTCCTTACATTTGATTTGCAGAAGGACAGCTGTTATTTTATATTCTTATGAAGTTGTTTTACAGTTTGAATTAATATAATGTGCTTACATTTTTAATTATTGATTAAAACTTTTTCTGTGCATAAAATTATTCTTGCAATACTGTATATAATTTTCTTTTCTTTTCACTGTAAACTTTCTAAAAGTAAAATAATTACATCAACCATTTAAACAGTGTAGAATGTTTTATATAGGTCATTCTTGTTCAGGTTTACCATCTATTTTTAGCATGGTTGGTTTTATTTTCTGTACTTTATGTTGGAATAGATTAACTGAATCAACGTATTAGTAATTTCAATGTGTTGAAACCAGCTACTGAGAAACTATGTAATTTTAACTCAGCGGGTGTAAGAAGAATCACGACCAACAACTCCATGCATCTTCCATTTTGACACGAAGTAAGCAAAGCCTAACCCACTTAGTTACTGTTGCTATGGCTGCCAAACAACAACAGTTTACGTGGCAGATTTACTATAGAAAGTAGTTTTTGAAACAATGGACCCTTTATTTCAGACAGACTTGTTTTCATTTTAACATTACAAGAGAAAAGACTTTCACGGTGAAGACAGTGTTTGGCTTTACTTTATCCTGGATAACAATGGGTAGAGTGTACAGTTCCTCAAATCCAAGGAGGTGACATACTGCGAGTTGAGCTCAGTTTTGACTCGTCCTTAGCAGAAAACAATGGTGGCTCACCTGGTCACACACCATCTCATATTCCAGATTTCAGGTGAGAAATAGTGAACGCAGTAACAGAATCGGGATCCATATTTGATCAGCACTGCACTGCTTAGTTTGACAGTTTGATTGGACTCACTGAGAATGAGTTTTACCCTAAATGGGACCATAATTTAAGAAATGAGTGTCATGCTGTATGGAAGAAGGCTTCAAATTGAGACCACAAACTCATCAGGAAACTGTTTACTGAGCTAATAAATGGAGTGAGAAGTCAGAATAAATTAAGTGAGAAGTCGGCTCATTTCTCCATAAGACTGCATGGTATTGCTTTGTATTGCAGCCGATGGAGCTGCCACCTGCTGGCCATTACACAGAATGCAGCCTAAAGACTATTAAAATGCTCCTTGGCCTAGGTAGGTACTGTATGTTGTTAGCCACACATCCATTCATTATACTTTTGCTCTTGTGGTTTTTGTTTTGAAAAGGCTAGTGTGTAGTGTAGCTCTTACTAAAGCTTGTACCCACCGCATCAACAGGGGGCAAATCCAAAGCTTGCTCTTGTGCCTCGTTAAAGTTGCTTGCGTTAGTGGAATGCGCAATGCACACAAGTTTAAAAGCAGGAACTCTCCACCAGCTGCTGGAAATTAGAAAAATTGCATTGCCTAACAGCAACCTGACCTAACTGTTGTTCTCTCCTCTGATTAAACAATACAGTGTTTGAAGATGGAATCACTGAAGACAAGGTCTCTCTGGTTCCTCGCTGCCTTCCTCTTCCTGTCAGCTGTTCTCACAGTGGCTGAGGTGGTAAAGGAGGTGTCAGACTGTGACCAGTTTCTCCTTAAGAAAACTCCACCAGAGCTCCCAGGCATCTTGGAGGGTGGGAAAATCCAGGACCAGAACCGCTACAAACCCATTTGCCAGACTTACAATAATAAGAGAAGGTTTCTGACCCTCTACGACACCAAGAACAGGATTCCAGTGTTTTCTGCTTACAAATACAGAGGGAAGGGAGAAAGTAAGAGACCTCCAAACAACTGGAGGATAGAGCCAGAGGTGTGTTGTTTTTTTTTACTTGTAACAGACTATTAATAAACACATAGTAAAATTGCATTTTGGGGTGCAAGTTGCTGTAGCGTGGTTTGTGCAGGATGTTA